GAATAACTGGTTGTTATTTAAAGGAATAACTGGTTGTTATTTAAAGGAATAACTGGTTCTGATTTAAAGGAAAAACTGGTTCTGATTTAAAGGAAAAACTGGTTCTGATTTAAAGGAAAAACTGGTTGTGATTTAAAGGAATAACTGGTTGTTATTTAAAGGAAAAACTGGTTGTTATTTAAAGGAATAACTGGTTCTGATTTAAAGGAATAACTGGTTGTTATTTAAAGGAATAACTGGTTGTTATTTAAAGGAATAACTGGTTCTGATTTAAAGGAAAAACTGGTTGTGATTTAAAGGAAAAACTGGTTGTGATTTAAAGGAATAACTGGTTGTTATTTAAAGGAAAAACTGGTTGTTATTTAAAGGAATAACTGGTTGTTATTTAAAGGAATAACTGGTTGTTATTTAAAGAAAAAACTGGTTGTTATTTAAAGGAATAACTGGTTCTGATTTAAAGGAAAAACTGGTTGTGATTTAAAGGAATAACTGGTTGTGATTTAAAGGAATAACTGGTTGTTATTTAATGGAATAACTGGTTCTGATTTAAAGGAATAACTGGTTGTTATTTAATGGAATAACTGGTTCTGATTTAAAGGAATAACTGGTTGTTATTTAAAGGTGGAAGTGTTGACATCCTTTTAATGATGAGCATGTACTGTAACACCCCCACACAAACACTTCCATGTCCCCAGAGCAACAAAAGCCTTTTAAAAYATAAAACACAAAGCATTTTAAATTATTTACATAACCAGAGCAGGAAGAGAAACAGGGAAACCCTCTGTTCCTGTTGGATGACCAGCTTCCTGCTGACGACATTCCCATCACTGAGGGACCAGTAAACATCCTGACTTCCCTGTAAACCCTGAGAAAACTTCATCATCCTCACATGGTGAAGGCTCCCTGTGGACTTTTAAAACCAGTTAGTAATACCAATAATGTGAGTCACTTTAAACCAAGTCAAACATTATAATGTAGCTCTAAAAGTAATGTAACCACTTGGAATGATGGATGGAAATATCAGCATTATGAAACTATTTGACTAAAAATAATTCTACGTATGTTTCTATAATGATTTAAGGTGTAATCTGGATTAACACAAGCTTTCAGTCCTTGTGTTTATGGACCTGAGTGCAGCTTTTCATTCAGTTGRTCRTCAAATACTTTTAAAAAGACTAAAACCTTTGGTTGGCCTTTCAGGTACTGCTCTGCAGTGGTTCAGCTCCTATCTTTTACAGAGATCTTTTTTAGTAAATATGAATAGTTGCTCCTCTCAGATCCATGAGGCCAACTATGGTGTCCCCCAAGGGTCTATCTTAGGTCCCTTCCTGTTTAATCTGTATATGGTGCCACTGGGCGGGATCATCAGGAGTCATGGAATAAGCTTCCACAGTTATGCTGATGACACACAGCTGTATATTAGATCTCCATGTCTCATGATGACCCACAGCCAGTTGCTGTACATCTTAAATGTATATCTGACATGAAGACATGGACGGATCAGAACTTTCTCCAGCTTCATCAAGACTAAACARAAGTTCTWATTATTGGACTGGAGGATCAAAATGAAAAGATAATTTCAAAATTACAAGCTGCRTCTTTTTATYCTTCCAAACAAGTCAGAAGTCTGGAGGTTATTTTTGATTCTGAGCTTAATTTTATTCCACATATTAAACAGACTGTTAAAACAGGATTTTGTCATTTGAAAAATATAGCCAGAGTCCTCCCTCTTCTGTCTTCAGCCAATACTGAGATTTTAATACATGTTTTTATTTTTAGTTGATTAGATTAGACTAAGGCACTGCTTTCTGGTCGTCCTAAGAAAAACTACTCCGCTGCTCGTGTGCTAACCAAGACCAGAAGGCAGGCTCATATTACACCTGTTTTAAAATCATTGCACTGACTCCCTGTTTGTCTTATTGATTTTAAGGTTCTTTTACTGGTTTTTAAATACCTTAACCATCTTGTGTCATCTTATCTGACTGAACTGTTGTGACCATATGAACCGCCAGAAACCCTGAGATCCTCTGAAACTGGACTATTAACAGTTCCCAGAGTCAGAACACACACACACACACACACACACACACACACACACACACACACACACACACACACACACACACACACACACACACACACACACACACACACACACACACACACACACACACACACACACACACACACACATACAGAGAGGCTTCTTCTCAACACCTTCGTCTGTGGACCTCTCTGCCTGACAATGTGAGGGCTGCAGAGACTGTTGCTCTCTTTAAGAGCAGGCTGAAGATACATCTTTTTAAATGTATTTGTTGAACTGTATTTTTCTAAGCATTACATTTTTTAAATGATTGTTTTTATTGTATTGTTGTTATTGTTGTTGCTGTTTTTTATGGGTTTATTGTGCACAGTTTTGTACAGCACCTTGAGCTGTTTTTATTTTGAAGGGTGCTTTATAAATGAATAAAACTAATAACACAAAAACAACCTGAAGTTTGACATGGTGGGACAAAAGAAAGCAGACTGACCAGCAGCATGGCCTGTTCATGCAGCAGCTGCTGTTGGAGGATCTCCAGGTGCCTCTGCTCCTCCTCCAACTGACGGCGAATATACTCCTGTCAATCAAACACACCCGTCATATAATACACCTGTCAATCAAACACACCCGTCATATATCACTCCTGTCAATAAAACACACCCGTCATCTATCACTCTGAACAGGATCAACACTGACACAACTATAATCTGAATCATTTTGCACATGATGGTAACTGTAGAGCGATTTATCCTCCAAAGTGTGCGTGATGTCATTCAGTCACGTGATTTCAACCTCCATTTTTTTATGGGTGAAAACTCATGAGACTCCGTTACAAACTGTGTCAAAAGTAGAGACTTCAAACTATACAGCAGTTTTTAAATTGTGCCGTTAGGTCAAGAGAAGAAAACCAGAGTTACAATAAATAACATATCTTACTATTTTTTTCTGAAAATGCACGTTCTATTTTGAAGCGTGTTGCAGCTGAGGGGAGCAGGAAACACRGTAATCTTGTAGAAAAAAACACTGCTGTCCATCGTCAGTCTCATCTTTCTCTTAAACCGAACAAATATAACCCCCCAGACCTCCTTTATAACTGAGGCTCAAACTTATCTGACAAACAGTAAAAAATCTACAGGAAGAAGAAAATAAAAAGAGGTGAAATTTGAATGGAGATTGGTGGCAATGAAGAGTGGATGAGAGCAGGACTTTATTAATTAGATCTGTGACTTTTAACATGTTTGGATTTTATATTTAGTGTGTAGTTTTGAGTGTTTACTCTTCATTTCAGCCAGTTTTAGTGTGTTTTAAATTAAAACAATGAGACAATTCTTTTTAAACAAGAAGAAGCACGGAGGTCTGCAGAGGCAGAACAACAACACGGGTCTTATTTCTCTCCCAGCACTCTTGCAGTTAGAAAAAAATAAATATTTTATCTCTGGGTGTTTTTTTTTACGTGAGAAGTGCAGTCCTACAACAACTTTTCACCATTTTTCCTATTTTCCACATAGAGGAACTTGTCCTATTTTCCCCTAAACCAATATGTCAGCCTCCATCTACAACATGGTCACGTGACAAAGTACCGGCTGTTCGGCTCTGATTATGTGACAGCTGCTGACTTCTACGTTTATTTCCTGTGAACTAAAAACAAAAACCAACAGACTTGTCTGGTGTCAGTACCTGCTCCCGGTCGGCCCTCCTCTTCTCTTCCTCTGCTCGCCTGCGCTCCTCCTCCTCTTTGCGCCGTCGCTCCATCTCCTCCACGCGTCTCTTCTCCTCCTGCTCGCGGCGGCGCTGCTCGCGCTCCTGCTGCCTCCTCACCTCACGCTCGCGCCGTTGTTGCTGCAGGTGAACAAGTCAAACTCTGAGGAAAAGTCTCCTCCTTGGTCACAAACGTGGAGGAACCTTTTAGTCTTAATCTCATCGAACTGGAAGACATGTTGGATTTAAAATAAACGAGAACATTTGGAGTTAGACAAAAACAGCTGGTTCCAGCCTTGAGTTGCATGTCTTTAGGACAAACAACAACCAGGATTATTTGCAATTACATTAATTTTTGCTTATTTGAGTGGAAGAAATTCAAATTGCACATTGCCTGGTTGGGATGTTACCATTTAWCCTTTAAACTGAACCTTTAAATCAGATCTGGCAGGTAGTTTTTCTGTTACCAAGTAAAAGTCATCAGTTTCAGTCTGTAATCCATTAATATCCTCATGTTTTTAAAGCAGATAATCTATGACACAGTGATTACCAACCTATTCTCCTCAAAGACCCCCTTTCTTACATTCAGACCATCATAAAACATCAGATTTGGGTCACATTAGCCTGYTGTGTGAACGTAGCCTTGGAGGGGTGGCCCCCCAGGTTAGGAAACAGTGATCTATAAAAACAGCTGTAATATATAATGAACTGCACCAAAACTGAGAATTAAACACCTCTAATGTCTCTAATCATGTTTGAAAGGGAAGTTCAGGAAAACATTTTTCCATTGCAGAGAAGGTACATATAAAAAGAAAACCTGGCATTACTGTTTTAGCCAAATACAGCCAAAAACACTGGACATATTACTTCMTTTGTTTTAAAAAAAATGTCCAATAAAGATTTAAAAACTGGAAATATCAAACTGAACCACTGGCCACAACTAGACAGAATAACTTTAAAAGTTTTAATTTCGTATGTAAATAAGGGCTTCTCTTTGTTGTAATGCACTCTGTTTACATTACTAACTGTGAACTGACCATTATTGGGCTGACTGTTGGTTATTATTTGTATCAAAGGCACAGTYTGATCCTGGTTTAGAGCCTACTTGACCAATTAGCAGTTTCTCTGTTCATTTAGGAGATAGCTCCTCCTCTACAGCTCCTCTGACTTGTGGGGTCCCGCAGGGCTCTGTTCTAGGCCCTCTGCTTTTTAATCTTTATATGTTGCCTCTGGGGTCCATTTTTAATAAATATAAGGTTCCTTTCCATTGTTTTGCTGATGACATTCAGGTCTACCTGCCTATCAAGCCAGGTTTGATTAATTCATTCAAATCCCTCCTGAGCTGTCTGAATGAMATWAAAATCTGKCTGAAATTAAATTTCCTGAATCTAAAGTAAAGTAAGACAGAAGTCCTCAGCTTTGGTAAAGACATTTCTCCTGACAGTCTTGGTCCTCTGGCTTCATCCAGCTGCTCTGCTGTCAGAAAGTTGGGTTTCATTTTTGATAACGTGTTTAAATTGGACAAACATAAACTCAGTGGTTAAATGGAGTTTTTTCCAACATAGACTTATAGCTGAGGTGAAACCACACCTCCCAAACAAAGACCTGATAAAGTGATCCATGCTGTCATTACATCTGTTTGGATTATTGTAATTCTTTGTTTGTTGGTTCAGATAAATCTTCTCTGCATCAGGTACCAGTTGTCCAGAAG